TCCTGACCAACATCAACAGGCATTAGACATGTATCCTGGAACATACAATGCTGCTGTCTATCATGCAAAAGCTCATCATCTTCACCTACATCTATAGATGCTTCACCACTTTCTACCTTACTATCACTGCCCTTTTCTTTATCTATTTTCTATTATCTTCTTCTCTACAAAGTTCATTTAGCCAGGCTTCATTAAACTATATCTTTATAATGAATATTTGAACGTTTTAAATATTGCAGCGCTTGCATCGTGTCCACAAACTGATATTCATAATGACCCTTATAGGTTCGCTTACGCTTCAGTTTTACACACAACAAAGATCCCTCCATATTAGAACGCGGTAACAAATTGTCAGTCTGCACAATAAGCTGGAACCAATGTTTACGCGGCCCAATGTACGTCCATTTGCCCACCTTTCACGGTAAATGCCGACATTGAACGGTATATGTAAAGCAATCAGATGCTGTTCTAGACTATTCAAACAAGCCAATTCTGGTGGAATGGCATGCACACTCAAATTGTTCATTGAACGTTCTGGTGGCATTTCACCTTTATTAATCTTACCATGACACGTGTAACAAATCCACAACTGACCTCGAGCTGTAATATAGAAGACAAATCCTCTGCTTTCAAAGTGGTGAATGTGCGTGTGCACGTATATCTCCAAATCTCTCAGTATCTCTCTCTCTGTTATTGTGCTAGCAAGAACGACTGTTAGCTTACCAAGAGCCTATATACTGGCGAGATTCAAAAAATTCCTTCAAAACAGCAGAACACATCTTGACATCTGAAACTGATCTGACTCAAATATAGATGTTCATTTACACTTTTTCATCCTGTGTTAGGGTTAACCCTTAACCTCTTATTTTATAAAACTTTTAAATGCTTAATAACCACAGAAACTATTTCAACTGTATTAATATTTTTATTTAAAAAAAAAGGATACAAATATATTCACACTTCCACATTCACTCACTCAATAACCTGAATTATGGTCAGTTGGATGTTAAATCCTCATCTGCAGTTCCAGTGATATTTGTTCTTAATAACATGTAACATGACAGTTGAACTACAAATCAGCCAACAGCAAAACTCCAACCAACCTCACAGTTACAGACTTCTGTGTTTTTTTTTTTTGTGAATTATATAATAATTTAGTATATTATTACAGAAACACACATTATCTGTAGCATGCAAAACCACAAAAAACACCAACACTAACCCGTAGCAAAGGCAGCGGACACCTGGACGTCCTCCACCTGTTGGAGGGCCTCCCGGAGCTGCCTCCTCAGGTGTGCCTCCTGCTGCTCTGCCCGCCGGTCCCTGGCCCTCGAGAGGCGGATCTGTCGTATAAACTGCCCCATGACCCCGGCATGAGCGAGGTTAACTCGCCGGTAAACCTCTTCCCGCGTGAGCTCTGGATCAATGCACGCATACTGCAAATAGAAAAACAACCAATGTACATATCAAACATATCATGATTGATATATGCATCATACAACAGGATGTCGGGAACCCAGCAGGTAGAGCTGACATTCATTCATTCATTTCTTCATTGTCTCTGTATTACACTGCCTTAACAGCGCAGTGCGCCTCTCTCTCTCTCTCGTTGAAAGTCTATGTAGCTCACCCAGCAGTCTCCCTCGCTCTACATTAACTCTCTTCAACGAACTTAAAAATATAATAATCGAACCAGAGAATCCAAACCAGAGAGTATTTTCTTCAGTTGAATTAAACAGCAGTGTTTCAAATAAATAGTAAATAAATTTAAACAATCGATAACGTGATAGGATAAGTTTGTTGCTGAATTTGTGTGGAAGCAGTCTGCAGGATATTGGTCTTATTAACGGATGAACATAGATTAATAATTAGACGTTTCATTACTTTAAATCCGTAACATTAATGTTGAACGTTAGCATGTTCAACCAAAGTCAGGACCAATGCTAACAATACAGAACCATGTTTCATACTTACCGCCGCAAGCTGGAAGTCCATTCTTATGGCCTCCAGCTCCGGGTCATTGGCGGTGTGGAACCGGGTCGGGCTATTATTTATATTATTTGCCATTTCTGTAGAAAAACAACAGCAATGTGCAGTAGCGACTTATTTCTTCTCTGCAAATCCAAAAATGTCCGGATCCGGGAGCCCGGGTTAATTTGAATTGCCGCCGGTGCAGATCTCGCGTATCTGACACTGTTAAAAGGGCGCGAAAACAGAAATTCAAAAATAAACGTCAGGATTTTAAGGAGAATAATATTGTCAATCAATAATCCCACTTAATAACTGCAAGCCTGCAAATATTTGTAGGTATTAAGGTTATAGGGTTATTCTAACATTATGAACTAATAATTTTTGTAATGTTGATTACAACATAATGATTTTAAACTTTACCTCAAATTTTAACGTGAAAATAAATTCTGGCTTGGTGTGTGATTAGTTTTGCACTGAAAATGTCAACATTAACTTATGGTCATAGCGCCCCCTACTGGCAACAGGAAGATATATGTTTTATACTGCTCCTTCTTACAGGTTGATTAGATCAGCTTTAATTGGTCAGAAGATGCTTTTAAAAAGATAGTACTCATAACGTCGGTGACCGTTATCCAATGAGAAATTCATGTGGTGTTTTGCAAGGCGAGTCTGCCGCCTGAGACACGTGGGCGGGTTGCACGGATGACAATATTCAGATATAGTGAGAGCGCCACCTACTGGTAACAGGAAGTAAGCGCTGCGTGGCTATTTTGATCTGATTTATGTGAAATTTTCATGTTGTGGTCCGCGTGTATTACGATCGCACATGACGCGGCCGCAGCACACCCCGACCACGCCGGCTGCGAGGTCCCGTTAACTCAAGTTTAATTTTTATTTCAGTAAACTAACATCTTTCTTACACACCTAGTTTTTGTTTAGTTTTAATAATAAGATGAATAATGACCTCCTCAGCTTCACCTCTTGACTGTTTTGGAAGATTTTGCCTTCGGTTTCATCTTCAGTCAGTGAAACTGTAGTTTCCACAAAAACTTTATTGTTGCCTCATCCATCAACAAAGACAAACAGCCTCAAATGGAAAGTGACAGTACTTTCTGTTTTGGTTCCATTTGCAGGAGCATCACAATATATTTTACACAAATATCTGTACTTTCTACTCCTTACAGTTTCAAAACAGGCTTGTTACATTTAATTTTAATGCATTTTTGAGTGATCAATTTATTATTATAACTTCTTTTTTTACATTTAAAGACGCTGTAACAAGACGAAACAGACAAGAGACTTTTTGCACAGAAACAGTCGGTAAAAGTCTCCTTTAGAAAAACACATTTTACTTTTATACTGAGTAAATTTCAGACAGTACACAAGTATCTGTACTACTACTTAAAAAAGGTTAATCTTTTATATGTTTGCCACCTCAGCCCCTGTGGAGTTTAATAAATTACCTAATTAAATCTAATTTGTTCAGCTTTTGAGAAACCTTGAACTGCAACTGTAAATTGCAAACATAAAAACACAAATACCAAAATAAATTTGCAGCACAACCTTCATTATAGTATCTTCTTGTTTTAGCTGTAATTATCCATTAATGTCCAGAACGTATTTTAAACTTGTGAATAAGCCATTTTATTTTTTACTGCAGCAGAAAACAAGTTTCTAGAAGCCATTTATCTGACCGGTAGAGAAAAATGTAAACAAGTGGATGGATATCTGGAAAAAAGGGTATTCTTACGTAAGATTTCTACTGTGTTAATGCACTTAATTTAGATAATTTGATTACTTTAGAACAACAATCCCTACATTGTTTACCCTACTGTACAGGGTTGTGAACACATGCTACAAGTCATGTGTTCAACCTCTGCTTCATTTAAAATCTGCTGAAGTACAGAAAAGTAGAAAGTAATAAAAGTGTGATGTCTAAAACAACCCTGATTTCTTTGCATATTCTCCCTCCTGCAGTCATCAAACTGAAACTTTAGCTGCAGACACTCCCAGGATGTGTGCACCACCCCTCAACAATACAAGCATCAAGCACTTTACTGCCAATAACAGCATTTCCTCTTACAACCTCCAAAATAAAACCCACAGTTTCTAGAGGGACTATTTTGTTGTTATATTTATTGGTATATATTTGTGTGCGTGCAATTTTTAGTGCTTTAATTGTATTATGTTAGAGGCAGAAAGAAATATAGATATCTTAAATTGTTCTATATTTTTCTTATTGTGAAAGGTGTATTTGTGTGGGACTACTTTCAGCTGTGGATTAATACACATTTTGTGCTCAGTTGAGAGTATTTACAGCAGCAAAAATTAGTAGTAGTTAGTAGAATCAATTAATTGCTGGTTTTGGTCTTTAATAGGAAATATCACCAGACTTATCCTGTATAACTTGAGTAAAATCTGAAACTACATGCATACAACTTGAGTTAAGCCCAAAATGTCTTTTTATTCGGGTTAATCAACTCTTAAAAAAGTGACTACCATAATTGGCTCAATATCTCTACTGTTGGAGATAGAAAACAGAGACAGATCGTAAACAAGTACAAGCTCAGTGAGCAGAAATAGAAACACAAAAATATCTTGGCAACCAAAAGAGATGCACTTCCTCCTACAATGTAACACGTTCAATAATATAATTCAATTCAATTTTATCTGTATAGGTCAATTCATAACAGAAGTTATCCACGTACACTTATTCAAATAGAGCAGGTCTAGATCTAACTCCTTTTAACATTTACAGAGACCCAACAGTACCACCATGAATATAAGGAACATTTCTTTAAACAAATTAAAGTTTTTCAATGCTCTAAATGTCCAAAATGTAAAATTAAGTTAATTATTATTTATATTATTTATGTTGTTGTTATTAGCAGTATTAATGTCGTAGTAGTATTTCCTATTGTACATATTTTACAGTTGCTTTGTAATGTAAACATCTGTCTCATACCAATAAATCCCCTTTGAATCTGATTTTATTTTGAAGGCTGAATCGCCTCGCTTCCCGTTTCACAGCGGGCCGTTTGACGCGGCCGCGGCAGCGTGGATCAACCGGACTTCGACGTCGAAAAGGAGAGAAGGTAACTCCTTAAAGTGAAGTTGCCCCCGTCGGGAGGAACAGTTTGCCCCTCGAGGTCCAAACCGTCTGAACAACCGGAGAAATGACCGACCTGTACGTTTCCGTGGCGGTGTTGGGAGCCGCGGTGCTCCTCAGCGAGGCGACCCGCCGGGCGGCAGCGCGTCTTTCGCCCGGAGCTTATTGGATCTACCTGCTGGAAGCGGCGTCCACCTTCCAGCTCTGCAGCTGCACTCACGAACTCAAACTCCTGGGCGAAGCTGCCCGGCTGGGGCTGCCTGTCGCCCTCGCCTTCACCTACACCATGACGGTCATCCACCTGATAACTTTCCGGGAGGCGACGTGTAACCCCGGCGGGGCTCTGGAGAGCGTTTGCCGCGGGACCAGAAGCGTCCGAGCCGCGGTCGTCGTGATAGCCTGCCAGTTCGCCGCCGCGGTCGCCGCGCAGTACTTCGCCGCGTCCGTGTGGTCGCTGGGCCTTTCCGACGTCCACATCAGGCACCAGAGGTTCGGGTTCCGGTGCTTCGACCCCCTCGGTGGGACTTTACTGGAGGCCGCTGCCGTCGAGCTGGCCTGCGCTTTCGTTGTCCAAGCTGCGGCCATGCATGTCCACAAGCTGGACGAAGTACTTCGCGCTCCGTTCATCGCCGCGGTCATCACCGCTGTGGTTTGCACAGGTGTGTTAATTAACACAGGATGAAAGTGTTTGATCTGATTTATTTGAGTTGATTTGGTTTTTCAAATGTTAAAAAAAACTACATTTAAAAAAAGAGAAGAACCCAAACAGATAATTTAAAATAAATAAACAACAAGAATTATATTTTTATAGCACTGAACAAGTGAAATAAGTCAAAAGTACATGAGATAAAAAAGAGTAAAAATATAAATAATCATACAATACAGTAAAATAAAAAATATAATAATACAAAAGAATACAATTAAAATAGTAAAATAAAAAAATACAACAATATAAAGTCTTTTGCTGTATGTAAATAGTTGGATTTTTTTTTAGCATAACAGCTGTTATTCTTCCTGGGGTCCACTCAGTTCACTAGTACACAAATATACACTAACACATCACAATGAACATGTGTGAATAAAACAGTAACAAATGACACCATTTATAGACAAACACACTGAATGTATCGAGAACTAACAACATACTTTAATGAAAGCAATCTCGAGGCTCACCAATAGTTATACTGATCGGCACAGACGGATCAATTGTCAGTGATCATATTGACCACACATACACAAGTCTGGATTATCAACCGGGTAACAGGGAACTATACATTGGCTGTATGTCAGTAGGTTTGTGGTATTTATTAGTCGCCTTAAGCTCATAATTAATTGAAATGTCCCTTAATACTGAGTTTGAGTCAAAATCTAGTTTTAATGACCTTTGTAAACGTTGATATTGTGCCAATATGCTGTAATTATTAGGAGGTTAGAGTGCAGAAGAAACCAAAATCTGGATACGAGCTGTTTCCCAGTCCGTTAGATGTCGTTCAGTGTTTCAGACTCAGACTCTGCTCTTTCTTTCTCTTTCTCTTTCTCTCTCTCTCTCTGTGTGCAGGTGGAAGTATTTCAGGAGCTGTTTTTAACCCCGTCCTGGCCTTCTCCGTCCAGTTCCCCTGCAGCGGCCACACCTACCTGGAGTACTGCTTCGTGTACTGGCTGGGACCAGTTTTAGGTAAGGAGGTGAACAGGTGGCTTCCAGTCTGAGTGTTTATTGTGAAGGAAATAGTTTAAGACTTTAAACATTTTCTAGGAGTAAAAACGTACTTCCATAACTCATCTTTTACCTTTTTGATAAGCGAGAAGTTTCCAGTCTCAGCTTCATAATTAACGGATCAATCTTCTCGTCTAACTCTTGGCAATACTTTTTTTGCTTCTTTTATTTAACCTAAAATATCTTTGCAAGCACCTGATTGGTTCCCGTTTGTGTGTGTGTGTCCTCAGGCATGGCGAGCTGCATCCTGCTGTTCGAGAAGATTATCCCTTTCCTCTCTGGAAAGAGTACGATTGGGCTGGAGGTCCCTGCTGCCCAGAAACAGAAGACACAGTAGCAGCGTTTTTAGTTTCCCTTTTGTCATTAACGCCTAAAGAAGGCTGCACGGGAAGTCCACTTATAACTTGTTCATGTGCCATAGCCTGGAGTCCCTGTTGTCACACAAACACTTTTACTGTAATGTGAGTTCACCTTGTCAACGACCGCACAATGATTGCAACGTAATACATATTGAACATTTGTAGGCTTTTTCGTTGTAGCACAAAGAGGACCAGGACTTCTGGAGCCGCAGTTGAAGGAAAAACGACGGTGTCCGTTGTTAATTTAACGTATAAATCTGCTTTGAACTAGAAACAAAGACTCATTATAGAACTAATTTAACTTTTCCTTCCTAGTAATAGCTGCCTGTATGCATCCATGGATACGATGCAGAGACTTCTAATAATAGTGGCAATTGTCCAAAATGTAAACAAATAGAGAGACTCGGGTTGCAGACCACAGCTAACTCACTCATTATACTCTTATTATTATGCTACCTACCCATCACAACATTACGTGAGACGCCAGCAACAGTTGGAAGCACTTTTGTCGCAAGTTTGAATGCAAACAAATTAACCAAAGCTCACAGAGAGAATTAGGGGAATATAAATGTTTAATATGACATTACAACCTCTTAATTTTACGTATTTTCTCTATGAATTTATGAAACAGCACAGATGTTTGGTGCTTTGGTTTGTTTTTAGTTGGATTAATGTGGGTGTATTGTGCATGGTTGTGAAAGCGTCACACGTTCAGATGTTTGTAACTACACCAAAATGTTGCTGGCACACTTTTATAATGTAAAAAAAAACAAATGGGTCAAAGGAGACATTATTTAAAGTTTCCTTTTTTCCCCTCTTAAGTTTGGATGACCAAAGCTTTTTACTGCCGAATCTTTTCCTGCATAAATCACGTCTGACTATGTCGGTTAAGCTGATCATTTATCTCGGACAGAGAGTTAAAAGTATGCTTGTGTAATGTTTGTGTTGGATCTTTTTTTTTCTGTAAACAACGGACAAATTAATTTACAACTTTATTACCTCTGGAGTCTGGATGAAGATGAGTTTTTTTGTTTCTCAGAGGGATACTAGTGACTCTTAAGAATGTGAAGCTTAATGTAGCCTGTGTGTTTTTCAACAAGAGGTTTTGTATAGTGTTGTAATTAAACTCATTTCTAATAATCATGTGTGAAATATTTTGATTAAAAACGTATATATTTGGAAAAGTTACACATTCGTGATTGTCATTTCTTGTGTTGTGTGTAATTCTTTTTTAAACTTATTTTTAATTGAAATGTTTCGACTGCTCTTCAAAAATGTTTAGTTCTTATTAGTTGTGTTTTATTATAATATAATATAATATGGGGGTATTTGTTAGGGAACAATATTTAAGAAGTTCATTATTACAATACAAACACATTGACTCACAGTGTCAGTAAACATATGAACTAATGCATCTTTGTTCTTGTTGTGTTGACACATTTGACCGAACTGACAAAAGATTAAAACTAAAGACATTTTTTCCTGTATATTATTTTATTTTAGTTAGTTTTAAGGACTCAGTTTGTTTTTGTTTTTTACTAGTCTAGTTTTTATTTCATTTCAGTTAACTTACAAATTATTTTTCACACCTGGTTTCAGTTTTTTAGTTAACTATATTATCTTTGTTCCACACTTACTGACTGCCTCCCCAAGAGGAGAGGGAGAGACCTGTTGTCAGAAGAGCTGTACACTGTGTCTTTGACCTAAAGGTCTGAATAAATCATTAAATATTCGCTAGTTGCTTTTTAGAAATAAAGTCGCCATTTGCTAGGAAGTTCAAGTCATGCTAAGTTGGGGAGACTGGTACTGGTACTATGCTATTTTATTGTCACCAGGTGATCCTTACTGTCTGTTAAGTGCTGTTTACAGATATTGATGAAGCTAAAATACAACAGTTTTAAAACTGAGATAATCCTCACTGGTTCTAAATCTACAACTCCTAACTAATATTTGCTCACTCCACATGTCTCCATACCGGTTATACTGGACAGTAACCATTCCTTCATCAGTTATATAAATGTCTCCAGACTACACCCTGCCTTAAAGGTCCCGGGTGTAACGTTAAGGAGGCTCTTTTGCCAGAAATGGAATATAATGTTGACAGCTGTGTTTTTATTAGTGTGTAATCACCTGAATTTATTAATCCTCTTGTTTTTGTTACCTTTAAATGAGCTGATTTTATCGACAGACAAACCAAACACTGCCTCTAGATAGGACCTTTGAGTGCCATGAAATAAAATATATATTACTTTTTACTTTAAACAGTTTTGCTTTGTAAGAAATTTGTGTCTTAAAATCAGAACATCTGAACAAACGACACAAAAAAGTACAAAACATAAACCAGGTTAATCTCATTTGTAGTCCCCAGAGGAGGTTTGGATAATCCCCAAAAACAAAAAGCTGTCCACCTCCAGAGCACTTGGTACTTTGGCCTGTATGGTATCTGTTACACAATGTGACCTTTGTGCCCTCTCCTCGTCCCCCCCATCTCGCCCTGACTCAGCTGAATACCAAATAAGAGCTCCTCTGTTCCCTCTGCAGCACGCAGAACATTCAACACATAAACAACATATGACAGACATGAGAGGGCGTTGATGTGGAGCTGCAACATGCTGCTTCACTGGGCCTGATGCACGCTGACAGCCTCTACTGGCAGTCAGAGGGAACTGTTTGGACAACAACTATAAACCTGCTGTTTCTTTACAGCTGCTGCTGTTTATGGAAGCCCGGTTCTGCCAATGTGAAAGGAAAAAATTATTCTGTAAGTCGTTATAATGAGAAACTTTCCCTGAAATATTGACTTGGTATCTCAAAATAATGAGAACGTTTCTAAATATTCTGAGATACTAAGTCATTACTTTGACATAACTCATTTTTTTTTATATTTAGTTAAAATATTGAGAAAGTTTGTCATTATTTTGAGATATTAAGTTAAACAATGTAGAAAGTTTCTCATTTTGAAATGTCATTATTTTAAGATAAGTAATTATCTTGAGATGCTTAGTCATTATTTTGAAATACTAAGTAATTATGTTGAGATAATAACTCATTATTTTTAGATATTTAGTTAAAATAATGACGTTTCTAAATATTTTGAAATACTAAGTCATAATGTGGAAATAATAACTCATTATTCTGATATATTAAGTTTAAATATTGTCGTTTATTTATCATTATAATGACTTACAGAATCTTTTCCATCACGTTGACAGAAGAAGCCTGCTGCTGGTGATGCTGTGGCTTTACACTTCTGGCTCTGGTCTCGTGTGGATTTGAGCTGTCTGCTTATGTGCAGGTCAATCCAAGCTCATCTGACACACACCAGGATTACTGCTGCCTTCACTGTCTGAATGACTGGTTGAAAACAAACGTTTGAAAGCATGGAAGGGCGATCTACAGACGGTCCCTTTTTTATATTATTTATGCTTAATCGATCAATATTGGTTGTTAATTAAATTATAAGTATCTATGTATATACCAGGTGTATGCTTCATACAATGCTGGATATTTAGGGTATAAGTATAAGGGATATAAGTATACGAGTTAGAATATATTTATTTTTTCTTATTTTTTATAAAATGTTGAAAACTAAATAAACATATTGTTAAAAAATGTGTAAGTATTTAAGTTACTACATGTAATAATTGTAAATAAAAACAAATCGCATCTATTTCAACCAATTTCACTGCAAAAAGTTGCCTAAAAAAAGCACATTATTTAGAAAAACTGCCGTGAAATCCGGCATTTAATGCATTAAATATATTAACGATATTCAAAGTCACCTTTCCAAATCAAAAGCAAACTTAAAACAGGGCGACATGAGGCTTGAAACCCATTTTATTATGACAAATGTACAAGATCAGATTCATAAGAAATAACAGTAAAGTTAACAAAAAAAAAAAAAAGGAGCTGACAAAACACCAACAACCGGTCTACGAGCATCTATACACAGTGGACAGGGTGTCTTTCCTCCCAGATTCATCATGAGGTAAATAGGAAAACTCTGTTAACACTTCAGTCATTGGCACCGACTTCCTCCCTTAATCCTATCGCAGCCTTTATTTCCCCCTCCTCTCCCGTGCAGGGTCTTGCTACAGGTTTTATTTCATAATAATAATACATTCTCCTCATCTCCGTGGAGCTTTTTTAAAACAGGGTTACATACAGCACATAAGACATTCCTTTACTCTGACCCGACCCACACACACACACACATTCACACACACCTATTACATTTTGAATTGGGGTTTATTTTTCTTTCTATATTCTGTCCAACTATAATCTAAAAGCTAAATATTGTGTATAGAAGCCTAAGCTGTGTGCACTGCGAGCAGCACGTATGGGTTTTGTTTTGGAAGTCATGTTTTTGGCCGTAGCCGGTATCAAAAAACGGTATGATAAATAGAGTGGTTTATCCTCTGTGAAGACCATGCTGAGACTAATTTACAAAATATTTTACAAACAGGCCTCATTTCTCCTCTTAAAATCAGATTCAGCTGTCCTAGATTTTTTATTTTTTCCCTTCTCTCTCTCTCTCTCTCTCTCTCTACGATAATCCTTTTCTCTCCCCGAGCTTCTGTAACCTTTAGTAGGTCATGCCATCCTATGCAGTTTCACTGCGAACGATGAGATTAATCCTGCAGCATCTACTTCACAAGTCCTTCAGCACTGATGCAACAGGTCATTAAATCCTTTAAAAAAAACATGCCAAAGTTTTCTGGTTTTCTTACAAAAAAAACCAAAACAAAAACAAGTTGTGCCAATATTACTTCCCTACAAAAAAAAACTATTAGAAACTCATGCAATCCCAAAGAATTGCCCAATATATTTTTCCATGATTAAAAAAATGCCTCTAAATATATTACAGCAAAAACTACAGATATACACACAGACTGGTTCCAGCAGAGGTCAGTGAAGTCATTGGTTTGTTTGTTTGTTTGTTTTTTCCGTCCATCCCACTCCGTATTCAAAAACTGCATCCCGACTTTCACTTCAAAATTATTCCACTAAGTTTCTTTTTGCAATTTTTCCGCAAATCTCCATCTTTGTTTGAGGTCTTTAAAAGTTGTCAGTCGACTGCAACCCGACCCGAATGTCAACTCATGATTATGAAAATAGAGAATTGTGAATAGAAATGTTGTTTTTTGTATGCAGGAAGATAAAAGGAAGTAGAATATGAAATAAAAATAATAATAAAAATAAAAAAAACAGAGGGTTTTGGAGCTTAGTGTTATTTCCGTTAAAAGCAACGAGTCTGCAGGTTTTTGAACCTCCTATGAAATGTACAAAGAAAATAAGACACTTTACATTTCGCTCAGAGACAACAAATAAAAGTTTAGATATACAAAAAATAAAATACATTATTTAAAAAAAAGAGATGACAAATAATAAATGTAATAAGAGGAAACTAGATTAGATCTCAAGATTAGGAGGGACGAGACTTTTCTACTTCTGATTTTGTTTCCCCGAAACGAACAAGAGTACTCAAACAAAAATAAACCGGGAGTTCACCATTGATACTGACGGCAACACACAGTTAAAATAATTATATGTTTACAATATACAAAAGCTGCTGTAACAAAAAGAGTTCGAGGGGAGGGCTGACAAACCAACGTTGGTCGACTGGTTATTAGTCTAGAAGGTTATTCAACAGGAATAAATATTCTCATCTGAAGCTTCGAATTATATAAATATATATATGTGTATATATTTATATATAGAACAGTTTAAAGCAAATGTTTGGACATTTTGGGAAATACTCTTTCTGGAGTTAGATTAGATAATCGAAGCGTACCTTGGCATAAAGAGTGGAAACAAGAGGAAACAGCTAATCTGGCTCTGCCCATTATTTAAATTAATAAAACTGTCTGTGAAGTAACATTTATACAAACATTATACAGACATAACGTGGTAGTTCGTGAGCCACAGAGGCGTTTCTAGGCGGACTCTGTATGAACTAAGGATGTGCTGGTATCATATTTTTATGCTACGATTGTGTCCAAAAATATAATTGTAAACCGTATGAACATCAGAACTTTCCTCAAGTACAACTATCGGTGCTAAAATGGCTAAAATCTGGTGGTTTTGGGCGTTACAGACCGACTGTCTGCTGCTGTTGGGCTCAGCATACAGAAACTAGCGGCTTTAAAAGAGGAACATGTGTTTAAACTAAATGATACGACCGACTGTGATGAAACACATCAATGCTGGTGTTTCCAAATGTATGAATATCTGCATTTTCGTGGGTTGACTGGCTCAACGCGCCCTCTGATGTTTTAAAATCACCCTGAAACTCTCCATTTGGGAATACTTTTGCCGCAGTGGTTTGGACATATCGGATAGATGCCTTTGAAGTGGTATCAAGTACTTTTCCCAAAATGTCAAACTATTCCTTTAATCTAACGGATTCAAATGTAAAAAAACCCAGGATTCATTTTTAACAGATGCCTCCAAAACTTCAGATCAATTACGGAATGATTTATTTTACTCTTTTCAAATAGGCGATCTTTAACCATCTCCCCTCTTCGTAAACAATGTCAGTGCCAATTTTCCGTCGACGAGAACAGGAGCTAAAATTTGTAGAAATCTTCGATGCAACAAAACTAAAACAAAAACGGGACGATGTGAGACACGTTCTGAAAGAGGAGAGCAGGAGGTTTGGCAGTGGAGCTGGATGATGCGGTTGGTGTGCAAGTAAACGGATTATTACCAAACCAAAAGAGAGTTTGGTGCCCTTATACAATCCCACAGGGACAGCGTTAGACTGGTGACAGGGATCCAGTTCTTACCGTAGCAGAGACTGCCGAGGCTCTAGCTCCAGATGACGCGAGTAAAAAGGATGGCGAGGAAGTGTTGGTGAGACGAAAGGGGGGGGGAATAATAAAGTTAAGCAATATAAAAATACAATACCACAAAAAAAAAAAAAAGAAACAGTACAACATTGTGTTTTTACAAGTCTTCGTTATTGCAGACGTAGTCCACTAGGTCTGTGACACCTAACAGGTCGTCTTCGTCATCGTCCGGCGCTGCCATCTCCTGGCCGACCAGACCGTTTGGTGCGATGGCAGCAGCTGGTGTGGCACTGGTGTTTTTGGGTGGCTCCAGATGTGGGATGAGGACTGGAGTGGCGGCTGTGGTGGCG